TTACCAGGGTTGGAGGAGAGGGAAGTAGGGAGCCTGTTGAGTGGGTATAGAGTTTCAGATTTGTAGGATGAAAAAATTCCTAGAGATCTGTTTTACAACAGCGTGAATGTACTCAACACTGATGAAGTATACACTTGAAGATGGTTTGGAGGGTAAATTTAATATGTTTATCAATTAAAAATTCAGTTAATTTCTCAAAATTGTTATGTTACTTTTGTATTAAACTAAGAAGTTGTACATGCATGTGACAGAACATAGAATAGTGTTTACCAGGGTTGGAGGAGAGGGAAGTAGGGAGCCTGTTGAGTGGGTATAGAGTTTCAGATTTGTAGGATGAAAAAATTCCTAGAGATCTGTTTTACAACAGCGTGAATGTACTCAACACTGATGAAGTATACACTTGAAGATGGTTTGGAGGGTAAATTTAATATGTTCATCAATAAAAAATTCAGTTAATTTCTCAGAATTGTTATGTTACTTTTGTATTAAACTTCTAAGAAGTTGTACATGCATGTATGAGTGTGTGTTAGGTTGCAGGAAAATATGTATCTGCTTGCATCTACATTAGCCTCATTTCTCTAAACCCCACCTATGTGTATCCTTGAAACTTAAGTAATAAGCTAGTCTAACCAAGGGGACTTTAACACTTGCTTCATCAGTCTTCATCACTCTTGAATGATCATTATCTGCATGTTGCAAAAGATCCCATTATATAGGGTGTCCCCCCAAAATGTATACACACACTTTGAATAATTATAAAGGCAGTGCTTATTAAAATGCACTTCATTTTCAAAATTGAGCTATCAGCTGTTAAAGTGTGTATATATTTTTTGGGAACACCCTATATTATCTTCCCAATAAAATGCCATCTGATCATAGGACCTTTCTGCCTCATCTTTATGTGAGTCCTGAGACATTTTTCTAGTGTAAGATTTTCTAATTTTATACATTTACATAATGTCTAGGCCCAATACATATTATTAAATTTAATATATTCAACATATGAAAATTAAATATTTGATATATACTAGTAAGCTTGCCTCCTAATTAATCACCTTATCTTCTACACTGGGTCACAAGTACTGAGAGAGAGCACATAATTTTAAATATGTTTAATTTGGGAAGCCTTGTGTATTCACTTTTGCATTGATTTAAAAATTTTTCTTGCTTTTGAGAGCTTTCCTACTATAGATACCTGCATTTTGTGTTAACACAAGAGAGATACTTTTCATTGTACAAAACTGGCTCACTTTATGCATTCTGAACTTGAGACGCTAATGAATGTTTCTGAGGTTTTAAGATAATATGCTAATGTATGGGAGCACCTACTGGTGAAGGATGATACAGTCCTAAAGACTGATTTTATTGGACCTATAATTTAGACCAAGTTGAAGAGCATGAGAATTATAAAGCCTTTAAGTGTGTAATCAAGGGAACCCTGCTTATTGCTTGAATGTTGCACCAGAGTGGTCTAAGGCAGGAAATACAAGAATTGAGAAGATACTACATAACAAATATGTCATTTAGATGGGACCGCAAAATCTAATAGGAATATGATTATTTGGTATTGATGTACTAAAATGTTTCATGAGGGCTGAGACCAGGTCTGCCTTGTTCACTTCTGAGTCCCCAGCACAATAACTGGTGATCTTGAAAATGTTAGTAAATATTTACTGAATGAATGTTAACCAGTCTGGACATTTTTTCCTCAAAACATGTTAAAATTTGCTTTTTGTTTTCCTCTTATAGGGCCGCTTCCATCATTTATAATAAAAACAATGAAAAATACAATTTGCGTAATGTCTAGATAAATTTCTTTTAGATGAAAAAAAAGTGCATTTGTTTGGTTAACCAGAAAGTTTGAACCAGTTAAAAATATACTTACAATTTTAGGGTTAAAAACAAATAATGAAACTGACCTAAACTAATTAAAAGGAAGGTGATGGGGAGTTCCATAGGCTTTGTAATCAAATATTATTAGGTTCAAATTTCAGCTCTATAGCTTTGTGGCTGTATGAGGTTGGATGAATTACTTAGCCTTTCTGTCTCGACTTTCCTCTCATTGTATATACAATGCTTTGTGCCTTCTTGGTAAATAATAGATTAGTAGCTATTGGCTTTTTTCTCTGAGGGTGCTCATTTTCCTAATTTTCACTGTAAGCTTCTTGGGACAGGGAACATATTTTATTTATTCCTAGATCCTAGCACAGTGACTGGCATAGGTTGACACTTAATAAATGTGTTGAATTAATAAAGAAAATAAATATTTAAGCAACTCCTTGGTGACTATTGCGCATAGTCCTACATAAGGTTGTACAATATTCAACTTGTAACTGAGGTGTATGGAGACAGATACCTGACAGAGTCACTTAAAATACAGAAATAGGGCATTTTCAACCCCTGGAATTCCTTTGATTAATCAAGATTTTTTTTCATGCTGCTTAAGAAATTCACAAGGAAGGTTGAGCTTAAGAAACTGCACATGAGATCGAGACTGTATTATAATGTATTCACACCCAGACACATTCTAGTTTAGCTACATAGTGATTTTTTACCATTAAGGACATTTTTTCTCATGTGCTTTCATTAACACAATCCCTGCTGATAAGCATAGATAACTGGTTTTGAAAATTTCAGATTAAAAACTGTAAAGCAGTTTTGTACTTAGTCATCAGGAGACACCAACAATGAAGAAGGGATTTGTCTTTAATAAAAATATTTTATACACCCACCTGAAAATTCTCATGTGGCAAACAGCACAAGTCCAACTCTAGAACATACTGGACATTCCTAAATGTGCATCAGCAGAAATGTAAATACCCTGGGTTAGGTGAAAGGACCTTACACTTCCACATGTGGATAAATCTTGCTCATAAAGTATCAAAGGCATCTCTTTCCATCAATGGTTTAATAATAATGACCATTTTCTGCACACATCAGAAGTATGTAACATTCTCTGGATTTGGGTTCCAATGTGTAACCAATTTTTCTAGGCTTATGGAATCAAAAACTATTCCAGGTCTTAACAGATTCCTTATTGCCAAATATGCAATCGTACTTGGAACCAAAGTCACAAATAAAAAACTAATGTTCATTTTTTACCTTCACTGGCAGAGCAAAATTTGACACAAAAACCAAATTACTATCAAGGGAAAACCATTCCCATTGTAAACAAATGCAAACTTGGGTTAAATTTCAAGATATATCATTCTCCTTGAGATTACTGGGAAGGGATTTTTACACAATATCTTGTTTGCAAGAACACATACTATTTTAAACTCATGCTTGGCATAACACTACATGCTGTAGAAATAGAATGCAACATTTTCACCAAATGCAAGTTATTTTCCAAGTTTAAAAATTAACCAAAAGTGCACATTAAGAATCAAGCTTCATAAACTTGCAGGTTTCTCTGACAAACAAACAAAAATAAAAAAACAAACAAACAAAGAAGTCAATAGTTTGGGAAAATAGATAACATGGTTTCAAAGTAGTTTGAAAATTAAAGTATATTTTCTTTTTCCGTTCCTCATCTATTCCTTGTTATATTCAAAGATGGTTATTTTGCTTCTTAATCTTGTTCATATTTTTTATAAAATATAAGAATAGTAAAATATGATATATGTTATATAGTACATAAATAGAAATTCAAATCACAGATATTTTCCCTCTCCAAATTAGAGGATATTGGTCCTAGAAAAAAATTCAGAAAATAAAGAGGCACAAAAAGGTCATGGAAAACATGTTTCTGTTCAACTTTAACATTTAAATTATAGTGGAATTTTTAGTACAAAATTTTAAACATCCTTGAATCCTGTACATATAAATGAGTCTTATTTACTTCAGCTCATTGGTAGGATATATTACAGAAGGGCGAATTACAAATCTAATATTTGTTTTGGCATTTTGCTCAAAGTTTTAAAACATAATATATTGGGTCCTAAAGCCTTTATTTTTTAAATTATGAAAATTAAGGCATGAAAATTATACATATGTTTCAAATGAGGACTTTTCGTTTTCCCTTAAAAGTTAACTTATGGACGCTTGCCTCAGATTTTTCCCCAAAGCAGTATAAACTGGATAACTGCTAACATAAAAATTATCATTAGTGGGTAATTTTTATTAAGTTTAAATTTTGGTTCTGTGCTTATTCCTAAACCTTTGATACTTGCCTCGCTTTTATAAAAGAAGTACTATTAACTGACAAGTGACTCAGTGAGTAGCTAACTATACTAAAAGAAAAGGTTAGAGGTACTGATTATGATTTTCTATTGCATTCATTTATATAAGGTAGTTACATTTATTGATGATTTCAAGTGTCCTAGTTAGCATGGCAGAAATTGAAAATGTCATGATGTTCTCCCTCAATAATCAAGAATGACTTCCAGGTACCCTAACGCCTGAAAAGTCTGAGAATCACTGACTTAGCAACTATTAGGCCTGTCTCTAAATATGCAAATAAGATTCTAAACCACTAACAGCTGATCACTCCCCGCTTCTTTTGTCCCCTGGCCTAGCAACATGGTGGTATAGACAGTAAGATGAAAGTGGCAGGCCTGGTTTTTGTACTTCAGACTCCAGGGCACATGAATAGATAAGATTTATTTTCTATGACTATTCTACACAGATTCTTTCTCATTATGTTCAATAAATAGTAACTTTACCTACAACACAATTAATTCCCCTTCTGATTGCTGTCTGTGGAGGTAACTTAATATTATGAGTGCATAGTTGCTGAAAGATTTGCTAACTTTCTTGGCTCATTTTAAACCACAGACCAATGACTTAATTTCCATACATTGTACACAATAATCAAATAACAGTGTTAACATTACCAAATTTATTTTTTCCCCATATCTCATCTAACTTTTATTGGTGTTACAGCCCACTTAGATTTTAAGGATAATAAATGGAAATAGCACTGAACCAGGGAATGAGGAGAACTTCATTTGATCCCTGGATCTGTTCCTAAATAAAACACATAATTAGGGCAAGTCTGTCATTTTTTTCAGAGCAAATTAAGAAAAACAGTATCTGTCTCAAAAGATTGCCACAGGATGAAAATAAAATGATGTGAGAATTGTAAACTATAAAGTGTTATTCCATTGGATGCTATTACTACTGTGATTTAGAGATTCCTATATTCTACTAATATAGTGCTGTTTTTAAAATGTGGTAGACTCCTTGTGCACAAAAATGAACTAAATATTTCTGAACAGAAGTTGTGATAGATAATGCTGCCAAGTAAAGTAACATACTGAGACAAACATCGCATAGATACTCCTTTTCTGTATTGGCAATTCTCTTTTTAAAATGAAAGAATGGATTAACAAATATGTAAGGGTTTCATGACAACTAATTTGGTATGTGCCCACATTAAGACACTCATAACCTAAAATTAAAAATATGGCATTGTATACATAGATAGCCAGGCTTCTTCCTTTTAGCCACTGCCAATATTCAAATTATTGATCAAACTGTCAGCTATTTTGTGCACGGATTTAATTGACCACTAGCAATGATGAAACTGAATTGTAGCTATTAAACCTAATAACCATAAATAGACTGAAATGTTATTCAAACTTCTAATTTTATGCATCTGATTTCAACCCAAATGCTGCTCTTAAGTTGTTCTGTTCTGAAGACTCCTGCCACATTTGTTAAGGACTTCAAGCACGTCACATACACATAGTAAATTGAGTATTCACCATTAATTCACTTAGAAAACCCTGTTTTACAGGTGAAATAGGTTTTCACCAGGAATTAGTACAAGCCACGTTGACTAATCTTACATAATGCATTTGCTTATTTTCTTCTGAAAATTCAGGTCATATATTTCCTTGATGCTAAAATCTTTCAAAATATTTCTTGCTGCTTTTTTCTCTGTGCTTAGCTTAACACAATGCATGCACTTACAACAGAGTGTCTCTGAGCCTTTACCTAAAAATAAACTCTTAAAACATGTCAAAACAAATTATGATGTTTTATCTTCATTTCTGATTGTTTTCAGCACTGAGTCTTCACCCAAAATTTTACATAGTTCATCGAGTCTCTGCTGCATTTTGGGAATTCCAGCTAGCTGAGATTCTAGTTTTTGTTTTTCTTCACTCAGTGTTAAACGGACTGCAGTATTCAATTGTTCAAAGCGCCAACCTCCTTCACCATCAAACTGTAATAAATGAGTGTGGTATTTCCTGTGTAATCAAAGTGAAATAATATTATTAGCAATAATTGTGAAAAGCTATTTTAGTTATAGATTTATCATGCTAATTGATTTCCAAAAGTAAATTTTATGTAAGATGCCTATTTTACATTTGATTTTCAAGAATCCCTCAAGAGGTTAAATTTTGTGATTTTTTTTTTTACTCCAAAACTCATTAATTACTAGGAAATTCTACTGTTTATGTTAAATTTATTTTATATTCTGAATAGTTATGAATTGCAACATGCTGTTGCATCTATTTAATTTATTTTCATAACCTACTATGGCTCCTGAATAAATATCAAAACATACTTAGAATGGGAATAAGGAAAGGATGCTGAGGGGGGAAAAGTAAACATTTTAAAGTTTATACAGAAAAAAAACTAAGAAAGATAAAAGAAAATACGATTCCAATTCATTAATATACAATCCTTTGAGAATGAATTATTCATTATTCTACATAAATAAACATTTCTCAATAATTAAAATTTTTAAACATTAAAAAACCAAACTTTTTGATATAAATCTTTTAAAGCTATATCTATGCCTCCATAAAATTTAATCTCTTTTCTCATGGCTCAGGTTCATACTTAGGAACTTTAGAGAAGTATAGAGACGATTTTATTAATGAGCCAGCAGAACTCCATCCTCTCCTACAAATAGGCTAGGTCACGAGTCTCTGGGATCTGTGGGGCTGCCTGGAGGAGAACTGCTGGCAGAGCTGGCCTCACGTGGCTGAGCCACTGAATTTTATCACTGTGCTGAAGTGGCCCATGTTCTTACATGTCCTCAGTTTTTCTGTCTTTCCCTTATAGTTTTTCTCAGTTCTTATTCCCCTCTAGGGTCTCATCTGTCATTGTTTACTACAGTCAGTGGACTTATTTTAGTAGCTTTAATGTTTTTTTAATTGCTATGATTCACATACCATAAATTCATTCCTTTACAGTGTAAAATTAGTGATTTTTAGTATATGCACGAACTCATGCAACCAGCACCACTATCCAATACCAGAATATTTTCTCCCCCCACTCCCCTCAAATAAACCCCATATCCATTAGTGGACCTTCCCCATTCTGCTCAGCCCCTGCCAATCACCAATCTCCTTTCTTTTTATGGATATGCCTATAATGGTCATTTCATATACATAAAATCATATGATATGTGCCTGTTTGTGACTGGTTTCTTTTACTTAACAAAATGATTTCAAAGTTCATCTAATTGTAGCATGTGTTAGTACTTTATTAGTTTTTATGGCTGAATAATATTCCATTGTATGTTATTGCACATTTAAAAAATCTATTCATTAACTGATTTTCATCTCAGGTTGCTGGATGATTTTAACATGATGGAAGATGGAGAAACTAAGCTAGGTTAAACTATGTCTAAAAGACTAAAATCACTCTCAAGCTGAAGGTTGAAATTCAAATGTTTGTTAACATGTGGTGGGGATTAATGATCTTTTTCACATACTTCTGAGGTTTTTCACATGCTATATTTAGGTTTTTTAGTTTTCAAAACTTTGACCTCCCAACAGGTGGGGACCTCACAAAAATTAAATGGTAAACAATATAGTTCTATGTCAAAGGGAAAAATGTGAAAATGCTGCTATTAAAAGATGAGAGCTAAAATAAAAGTAATGAAAAAGCCGAGGAAGGATTGTCATACAAGAAAGAGAAATAATGGTAAAAATATCATTTTTAAAATTTCATTCTCAACTTTTCTCGGGCCTTCCTAACCTTGGATCCACAACAGGGAGCAATTTTAGGATATAGGTAGTTCAGATCTTGAGTGACCTGTATCTCCAATGTATAAGAAAGATTTGGCTCATTATTCCAGTCCTACAACATTATTTGATTTCTACATGGAAGAAAGAAACTATATAGTTTCAAAAGTGTGTTCCAGATTATAGGCTAAAATAATATTTCAGGATTTATCTTAGAGGAATTTAAAAGAAGCTACTGTATTAACTGAGGCTCATGGGTAATAATCGACAGACTTCCTGCACAAATAGGATAAAGCACAGGAAAGTAGTAATTAAAAAGCTGTAATTCTATCCAGGAACCAAATAATTTAATAAGCCTCTCTAATTGTTGAACACTTCCGAAACTAGTATTGATTTTAATCTCTACAAACAAAAATTACTCATTTGTTGTTATGGCAGAAAATATAATGTATCTTTCCCCTCTTCTGAAATCTTTTCAAGGGAAATAAGAATTTCATCTAGGGAGAAAGAATAATCATAAATGATATTTAATCCTAAATTGACTAAACTAATTCATAGAGCAGAGCTAAAATGATTTTAGTTTCATGAATAAATATAGTGTGGGTAGCTGCAATTAAAATGTGTTTTTTGCCCTGACCAGTTTGGCTCGGTGGATAGAGCTTCGGCCTACAGACTGAAGGGTCCCGGGTTCTATTCCAGTCAAGGGCATGTACCTCGGTTGCGGGCACATCCCCAGTAGGGGGTCTGCAGGAGGCAGCTGATCAATGAATCTCTCTCATCATTCATGTTTCTATCTCTCTCTCCCTCTCCCTTATTCTCTGAAATTAATAAAAAATATTTTAAAAACCAAACATGTTTTTCTTGTTAAAAGGTTTAAAATTATGGATTTTGTTATTTGCTTAAAATACTATTTGTCCACTACACACCTGTTAGAGTGGCCAAAATCTAGAACACTGACAATACCAAAAGCTGATGAAGCTGTGGAGCAATAGGAAATCTATTTCACTGACAATGGGAATGCAGAATGGTACAGCCACTCTGATAGTTTTGCAGTTTCTTACAAAACTAAACCTACTCTTACCATACAATCCAGCAATTGTACTCTTCAACACTGACCACACAAAAACCTGCGTATGAATGTTTATAGCAACTTTATTCATAATTGACAAAATTTGGAAGCAACCAAGATGTCCTTCAGTAGGTGAATAGATAAAGTGTGTAAATCCAAACAATGGAGTACTATTAAGCGCTAAAAAGAGCTATTAAGCCATGAAAAAAACATGGAGGAAATGTAAATGAATATTACTGAGTGAAAGCAAGAAATGGACAAGGCTACAAACTGTGCAATTCTAATTATATGACATCCTAGGAAAGGCAAAACTATGGAGACAGTAAACTCAGTGGTTTCTAAGAGATAGGGGAATGGAGGGAGGAACAGGCAGAACACAGAGGATTTTTAGAGCAATGAAATATTCTGTATAATACTATAATGGTGGAGGCATCTATATATATTAGAGGCCCAGTGCATGAAATTTCATTCTAGAAAAGGCAAAACTATGGAGACAGTAAGCGCAGTGGTTTCTAAGAGGTAGGGGAATGGAGGGAGGAACAGGCAGAACACAGAGGATTTTTAGAGCAATGAAAACACTCTGTATAATACTATAATGGTGGAGACATCTATATATACTAGAGGCCCAGTGCACGAAATTTGTGCACTGGTAGGGTCCTTAGTGGCTGCCAGCTGCCAGCCAGGGCCTCCCTTCATCCCCTGCACTGGTAGGGTCCTTAGTGGCTGCCAGCTGCTGGCTGGGGTCTCCCTTCCCCGGCTGACAGCCAGGGCCTCCCTTCATTTCCCTTTGCATATCTATAATAATAAAAGCGTAATATGCTAATTAGACAAGACAGCCAAATGACCTTCCGGATGTCCTTCTGGATGACCTTCTGGATGAAGCCGGGATGTGAGGGTTGAGGCAAGCTGCCACGGCTGCGAGGGCTGAGCCCCTTGCACAAATTTTATGCATCGGGCCTCTAGTATATAGATAAAAGCCTAAGTGACTGTTTGACCATTTGACCGGTAGCTATGATCCTCACTGACCACCAGGGTGGCAGACACTGAATGCACATGCATGGAAACATGGAACAGACTGATGAATCTCAGATGGAAGGGGGAAGAGGTGAGGGCGGGAAGAGATTAACCAAATCTTATATGCATACTAGAGGCCCAGTGCATGGATTCGTGCACCAGTGGGGTCCCTCAGCCTGGCCTGTGGTGCACCGGTGGGGTCCCTCTGCCTGGTCTGCAGGGATTGGGTAGAAACTGGCAGTCTGACATCTCCCAAGGGGTCCCTGATTGCAAGAGGGTGCAGTCCAGGTCAAGGGATCCCACTGGTGTATGAATCCATGCACCAGGCCTCTAGTATAATTATAAATTTGTCCAAACCCATAGAATGTACAACAACAAGAGTGAACTGTAAGATAAACTATAGACTTTGGTGATAATGATGTGTCAACATAGGTTCATCAGTTATAACAAGTGTACCACTCTGGTGGACGAGGTTGACAATGGGGAGGTTATACATGTATAGGGGCAGAAAGTATATGAAACATTTTTACCTTCCTCTCAATTTTGTTGTGAACCTAAAACTGCTCTATAAAATAAAGTCTTAAAAAAAACAACTTCTTGCTGCTGATGTGGCTCAGTGGATGAGTACTGACCTATGAACCAGGAGTTCATGGTTCGATTCCTGGTCAAGGCACATGTCTGGGTTGTAGGCTGGATCCCCAGTGAGGGGCGTTCAATTCCTGGTCAAGGCACATGTCTGGGTTGTAGACTGGATCCCCAGTGAGGGGCTTGAGAGGAGGCAGCCGATTAATGATTCTCCCCCATCATCAATGTTTCTCTCTCTCCCTTTCCCTTCCTCTCTGAAATCATTAAAAATATATTTAAACAAAAACAAAACAACAACCTATTTGTTCCTTTAATTGAGAAAAATGGCTTTTTCCAATGCCTCTTTAGGCTACTTGAATAAGGAACTGAATGACAAGATAGCATAATGCAACTGATCAATGTTTCTCTGTCACAATGATGTTTGTCTTCCTCTCCCTTCCTCCTCATATATGTGTGTGTGTGTGTGTGTGTGTGTGTGTGTGTGTGTGGTAAAAATGACATCATTTTTTACA